GATCTATTCATAAGTTATTGTGTGAAATACAAAAAATATTTAAATTATGTTGTACTGTATTTAATAATGTGATAAAAGTCTTACTAATTAAAAGTATTATTACAGCCAAATTATGTAATAGCTTTTATTATTTAATATCGCATACTAATTATGAAATAATTTATATCACAACTAATTAGTATATTATATATCAAAACATATTATAATGATTGTTATTTTGAAAACACTTTTCATAATCAAACGGGATCATTAAAATAACATTAAATAAATTACCTATTCAATTGAATAGAAATGTGGTGAAAGTATTATTATTAGTTTGATTAAAAATAAGAAAATTTATCATTAACTTGGTGACAAGATCTATGTGCTATATGGACATTAAATCATTTAATTAAATTATAATTTATTTTACTTTAATAAAGCTTTACAGTTTTAAACAATTTCTATAAATTCAAACATTTTATTTCAACACACATTTTTATTTAACAAATTTTTTTATGTATAATACAAATTCCTTAAGGTACATAAAATAATCTAGAAAAAAGATTTTGATTAAATTCTCATATTAGGATATATACTCCATTAAGATATCCAACCATTCAGAGTGGGCATATATGCAAGCATTTACTAGTAATTTATTAGCTAGGGGCTTTACATTATGTATGGCATCGATCAATTCGGCCACAGTGTGTGAATTATTTTATTTTAAGTCAAGATTTAAATTTTTAGTTTATAATGATTTAATTGTGGGTTTATTTTATTATACAAATAATATTATAATTTTTGGCAAAGTTATATATTAAGAACTACTAAATTATTAATAAAATAAATACCTAAACAAATTGGCTAATCAACAATTGGTTGTTTTGTCAGTATTTTGAAAATGTTTAAATTGAAATTCAAGTCAGTGAAGATTTTAGTTTTACTTTAATTGAAAATATTTATTTTTAATTAATTAAAATGTCTGCAAAAATTAACAATGACAATTATTTTTTATACATTAGTGATTGACATGTGAATTTTGGTTTTGCAAAACTATTGCAACAAATTTTGCAACAACTAAATAATATATATTTATAGTTATTAATATTTAATCAATAAAATTATTTTTACCATGGCTATTGTAATAAAATCATTATATATTATAAAAATACAAATAATTAATTAAGGTGCTTATTTAAAATATACTGCTATACCATGACTAAATAAGTATATTAATAAATTGAATTTTAATAAATGCTTATTAATAAAAAACAATAAAATTTCTTCCTGTGTGTAACAGACCAGGTAATTATTATAGCATTGAATTACGGTATAATTTTTGTTACTTTACTGTTACATTACAGTTTGTTAATTGTTTTATTTTTTAATAAAGTTTTTATAGATAATGTAATTTTATTATTCAAAATAAATTCAAATACGCAAATTAACTAAATTTAATTGTATTTCAAACAAGTAGCTATAATAAAAACTAATTTCTGATAATTAATTAACAAGTTTTCATAACAAAAATTATGTATTTCTGTGAATGATGACCATCCAACTTAAGAACTCCAATCCTACTTTATACAATTTATATAGGGCGTTGTATTATTTTTTAAATGACATACATGTGAATCATCGCTGCTCAATGCATAAGAGACCTAAGGTTGCGATTGACCTAACCTAACCTAAGGCTCTAATGAAATTGAATAGAAATGTGATAAAAGTATTATTAATGTGATAAAAAAATAACTCATTAAATATTATGTCATTTTTATCCATATAAACATTGTATCATTTTATTCAATTATAGCGTTACAGTTTTAAAAAATAATTATATAAATGCATAAATTTTATTTCAAACACATTTTTATTCAACAAAAATATGCAAAATACAAATTGCTTAAGGTACATAAAATAATCTAAAAAATAAATCTAGATTAAATTCTAATATTAAGCAATATACTCCATTAACACATCCAACCATTCAGAGGAGGCATAAATGCAAGCGTTAACTAGTAATTTATTAGCCAACCCATGCATCGGTGTATACCTAACCCGGGGCTCAGCATTATGTATGGCATCAATCATATCGTCCACAACAACATCCTTAGTACGGGTCGAGTGCCAGATGTCAAACGTTTTCAAAACCACCTGTTTCAATTTGGCCAGATAACTTTCACCATAAACTTGTTGTATATCTTCACGCGTGTTAGCCCACGTGCGGCATAGGATGTCCACATTAGTTTGAATGTCAGTCATTTCCGTACGGAAATACGTGGGCTCTATGGTTGACACCCGGACCCGGAATTTCCGCATCTCACGCCTAAGTGTGTCCGAAAAGGAAACGACCGCGTGTTTGGACATACAGTAATAGCCGATATTAGTGGGCGACATGCGTCCGCACATACTGGTAATGTTCACTACTCTATCTAGATTTATAATTAGTACATATATGTATTTAAAAAATGTTATCATTTAATTCATATATTATTTATTTTACCTTAATAAATTGTTAATTTGATACAGTAAGTCAGTAGTGTACCATAGACAAAATTATATTAATAAATAGCATACCTGTTATTTATACTGCTTTACCCATAAACGTGACCAACACTTTAGGTCTGTATATCTGCCATATGGTAGTCAATGCGTACGTGCTGAATAATACAAGTAACATATTGCTAGAGATTGATGTCACATTATATATAGATGGATAATAATATACAATTAATGACAATTAATCTCCAATTTATTTGAAACTTTTGGGAAAATAGTATTTTCAAAATACACAAAAATATTAGTTGTTTTCATTATTTTGAAAATGTTTAGCTTGAAATTCAAGGGCAAAGAGGTTTTAATTTTACTTTAATTGATTGCCAAAATGTTTGACAGAAATGTATTGTAGTCAAAGTTACCCATATTATTACTCTAGCAAATAATTTTATTATACTTTAAGCTTTGTTAAAATAAATTTACAGTTTGTTATTAGTTTTATTAATATTGTTAATTTATAATTTATGGTATAGTTTATTTATCAGCAATTTAATTTTATATAATCAATTTAATTAAATTTTTATTTTTACTACTTAACTCGAAATTGATTTACATATTATTTAAAATGCAAAATAATTATTTGCAATTAACGTCACGGAATCAGTGCCAATTAAATATCATTTATACAATATGTGCCCATAACAAATATAGCTATGAAAAATTAAAAGACTCAACATATATCTTTCCAAAATCTAATTGTAACAATGTAATTTAGTTATTTTTAATACAAATAAATATTATGTTATAGTTTGCAAATTATTTTATTTTAAAGCAAGATATAAATCTTATTTGAATATAATTATAATTAAATTGTTTATAAATAGGCAAATATAACATCAGCAAAATAAATCTTTGTAAATTGTCGTTTATTGTGTTATGGATATTATCACTGTTGACCAATAACACAATTAACCAATTGTATTAAACAACAATTTAAGTCAGATAAATATAACTACAGTTTACAAAATATTGTATTTTTAAATGTAATTAAATTGAAATTTATCTTCATTCAATTTTTATGAATCAAATCAATTCTAATTTCAAAATTCTTAAAAAGTTAGTTTGTAATAAAACAATAGCGACAGAACGGTGGCCAAATCAGTTTGAGGTCATACTTGCGGCCAATTTGCCAGCACTGACGGCACCGATAGTCTAAACACTGTCACCGATAGCATCGCGCCCTTCAGCTCGACATTATTTGAGCCATTTTTTGCCATTTAATAATTGCGTTCACAATCGATGGCCAGGTATACAATTGGGGGCACAACTAGTTTCACCAGTTGGGTCACAACAGCCCCGGGAGGCCTTCAACCCTTGGTTAATATCAGATATATTAAGCGTGTGTCCGGCCGGACGGGTAACTTACATTTTGACGGCCAAAGTCCAGCTATACTATTGCGGTGAATACCAAAGAAACAGCACCGGTAGCCGACGGTTCCACAACACGACCATAAAGTATAAATCCCGGCATCAATTCCGTGACGTACAGCGCGTGAACTCATATAAAAGTCAAGACACGGCACCCGTAGCCCTGACCGCAGGGCCCGACCCGAGGCTTGTTATGCTGTTGAAAAAGAGTGCAGATGTGGAGCACTTGTTTTGACTTGACTTTACATTTATAAAAATTGATATCATTGATTATATTAATCTCAAACAACTTTAATGTTTAAAATTTCCTGCGTTTTTCCACTCCCAAGTTATTACTATAACATTGAATTACTGTATAATTTATGTAATTTTTAAGTTACGCGACAGTTTGTTAAGTAGTTTATGTTTTAAATAAACTATTTATAGATAATGAAATTTTATTATTTCAAATAAATTCAAATATGCAAGTTAATTAAATTGAATTTTATTTCAAGAAAGTAGCTATAATAAAAAGTATTTAATTATAAATTATTTTAGTATAGTAACTAATAGGCTGTTCAAGTATAAATGTTCATTTCGTTTATAACTCAAAAAGTAATCAAGATAATTTGATTCTGTCTTCAGATAATAATAACAATAGCCCATGTCCACATCTCACATAAAATTTATCAGGATTGATTAACATTAAGATTATTTAATTTCAAAAAAACTGAGAAAAAAATTGTTCAAAAAAGTTATTGAAATAGGAAAACTTTTTCTCGTTTGATAAAAGTCATAAGTGTCTAGGTAATAATGATAGTTACACATCACCTCTATATTCTCAATTAATTATTTTCTCTCTATGAGCTGTACTTTTTTTCTAATAAAGGGTAATACCAAAGCACCTAGGCCAAATTAAATTTTGTCAATTTTTTAAATTATTCTTTTCTAAAAAAAATAATTTCTCTTACATTCACTTCATTACACTGTAAGTTTAAAAATATTATTACAAAAATGTCAAAGTTGAATTTTGACCATTAATGCATTGGTTTTAAATTGCATTAAATAATAATCAGAAATTTAAAAGGTAAAATTATATGTTTAAATTATAGAGGAGATGTGTGCTATCATTATTACCTAGACACTTATGACTTTTATCAAACGAGAAAAAAGTTTTCCTATTTCAATAACTTTTTTGAACAATTTTTTTNTAGACACTTATGACTTTTATCAAACGAGAAAAAAGTTTTCCTATTTCAATAACTTTTTTGAACAATTTTTTTCTCAGTTTTTTTGAAATTAAATAATCTTAATGTTAATCAATCCTGATAAATTTTATGTGAGATGTGGACATGGGCTAGTGTTATTATTATCTGAAGACAGAATCAAATTATCTTGATTACTTTTTGAGTTATAAACGAAATGAACATTTATACTTGAACAGCCTATTACCAATAGATTGTGTCTGTATTTCAATAAATTGTAGTAAAATTAATATAAAATAAATTATGCAACGATAGGATCAGTACAAGTGAAGGGCGCACTTTAATAATAACATTGAAAATACATTATTTACTATTAATAACTACCGGTAACTGTATGTTCAAGGATGTTTTAGAGTAGACTGTTTTCAACATGTTATAACTTCTATTTTACAAATGCAAATATTAACAATACATGTGTGTTTGTAAAAATATATAGTATCTGATAGTATTATTTTCTGTACTAAATAATAGATTCTATAGCATTCGGATATTGTTCATTTTTACCAGGATCTGTTGTAGATGTTACTTAATTGAAAATGCTGACACATGTCATATTTTAACATTTACTAATTAGCATAATTATTGTGAAAATTAATAATGTTAATAAGTTAATAGCATATTGATATTGGTATTTAGTACATTATCAACTAAATGTGCCCAAAGTTTATAAATTGTTTGAGCACTGGTTATCCCCTATTAATTATGTCTCAAGTCTTGTGATAACTAATGCACTAAATGTAAAAGCAATGCAAATGTAGACTTTGTGCCAACAAAATAATCATGTACCAATTTGTCCGTATAATATAATGATAAGTAATTTTAATACTCATGCTAAATGTTTAATATTATTTAGTTTGTTTAATGAAAGGTTTAACACTGTTCAGTTTTATAGTAAAATGATCACAATTTACATAGTTATTACCATGGTTATTTATATTTGATATTTTAACATCAAACTTGTTGTTAGTGAAAATAGAAAATAATTAATTGATTTTGTTAAGTGTATATTTATATTGTTTATTAGTTTATTTTATTTAACGTTTACATAAAAACGGTTACTTTTGTGTAACGTTTTTAACATCAATAAAATGCCAAAGAAATTGAATAAAATTTGTGTGATTTGTGGCGACAAAGCGAGTGGTAATTGAATTTAATTATTAAATTATGTATTTCTTATTTAAGAAAAATATTTTACCATATTGTTGACATAACTATATTCTAGTCGCAATAGTAGTTTAAATATAACTGTTATTCTGTAGCAAAATAAATTATATAAAATTAAATAAGATTATTTAGTATTTGTATCATAGAGTTTGCACTAAAATTAGTGCAAATTAGTAAATAAATTCAATTTTTAAAATTACAATTAAATGAAATAACAATAATATTTACACATTTTATTTAAATAACATATGTTTTATTCATAGGGTTTAACTTCAATGCCATTACTTGTGAGTCCTGTAAGGCCTTCTTCAGGAGAAATGCCGACAGAAGTCAGGTTTGCGACCATTGATCACAACTATCTGTTCCCATAAATTATCACTAATTTATACACATATTTACCACAAATACACAGCAATTCCAGTGCTTCTTAGGCGGGAACTGCAAAATCAATCTCTTGTGCCGAAAGTACTGCAAAATGTGTCGACTCAAGAAGTGCTTCGACATTGGGATGAGAAGTGTAACCATAATTACCATCAATTGATAAAACCTTTGCGATAATCGCTTGTATTGTTTGTATTGATTGCCATTCATTAGGAACTGATTCTAAGCGAAGAGCAGAAGGAATCGCGAAGAATGAAAATACAGGAGAAGAAGCGCCAGAAGAAGGAAATCATCGACGAGTTGACAAAACTGGTCGACTCGACGCTCAACAGCGGCTCACCAGCAGAGGACGGAACCAGCAGTGGTTCCGACGGCGGCCACAGCTCTCCGCCAATGGATTTGCTAAACACGTACAGCAATGACAGCCAATCATCGGAGAGCGCCGATCACAACGTCGTCCAGAAGTACTTCCGGGACAGAGACACGACTGGCATCGCGTACGACACGTACCGGTCGGCGGCTGAGCTGGAGTTCGCGGTGCTTCCCATTCAGCGACCGCTCAACGGTTCCGCCACTTTCAACGAACTCGAGGCGCACCGACTGACCGAACTCTTTGAGGCCATCAAAACGCTGCACAATCGGCGACCGGTGGGCGCGTCTGTGGCCGCCGATTACGCCGAAGCCCTGAACGCTCTGCGAGTGAAATGCGATTACGAGATCCGGAGGATTGTGAAAATGTCGAAACAATTGTCCGCTTTCTGCAAACTGTGCGAAGAGGACAAAATACATTTGCTTAAGTACTCAGCCATCGAGATATTCTCGCTCCGGATGGTCACCGACTTTGATCCCGAGTCCTACAACTGGAACGCTATCACTGTATGTCTTGTTTTGATTTATATGTCAATTAAGTTTTGTTTTACTTATTATTAATTTGTTGTTTTACTTATTGTTTTGTCTCTAATATAAATCTCATACAGAATAACGAGATCTCAACACTTGTTTATTTAGAGCTATTAAAAGAGGGTAAACGTAATTATTATAAAAATTATAAGGACTTTCTCGATAAACTATTACCCGAATGGAACTCCGACACCATTATTATTGACTTGGTATTAATCTAGATTAATTATAACGCGTTAATTAATCCTGATATTAACTGATCATTTTGTTTTGACTCCCAGTTGACGGCTATAATACTATTTGATTCGAGTCGACCCAAACTCATCCATAGAGAGTCTGTTAAGTATGTTATTTAAGTGTATTATCAGTGCATTTATTATAATTTATCATTTGATTTATTGTTTATTTGTTAGACTTCAACAACAGATTTACATGTATTTACTTCAGCGATACCTTCGGCTCCGATACCAATCAGACTGTGTGTCGGAAACAAAGTTTTTGCGGCTTTTGAATAGTTTACACGATTTACATATAGTTAACGATAAGATCGCACAGAATTGGATAGAAGGCGATCCGCAACGGGTTTTGCCACTTCTCAAAGAGATTGGGAACCGAAACACTTTTACACAACTCTAATATTAGTTTTGATTTTTGTTTTAATTAAATTTAATTATAATAATAATTAATATTTATCATTTACTTATGTTGATGGATATCAGATTATGCCAACCCGTGATATTATGGTTACGATTGTTATTTCGTTATTTCATTACAATATTTCATTGAATAGTGTGAACACATATGCAAAATATTTGTTGCATAAACTTTCATTAGTAAAAGTGTAAATAAAATTGTTTAAAAAAATTAATGTTATTTTCTATAAAAATTTTAATGTTGAGAGAGAGAGAGATTCCCAGTTGACGGCTATAATACTATTTGATTCGAGTCGACCCAAACTCATCCATAGAGAGAGAGAGAGATGGCTTGTTTGATTCTTAAAAAGTATTAATTTCTATAAAGTGCATTAAGCATCAAATAAGCATTAAGTGCAAACTATAAATAGATTAATTAAACAAATATTAATTTTTAGACAATAGCAGCTCAAGTATATTAAATCTCGGCTTTATTAAAACACGGTAAAAGTAATTGTAATAATATTTACAAAAGGCATAAATGATATGACGATAAAATGATACACAACGTACCTAAATGTTCTGTGTAACAAAAAAATCACGACAATTGATCATGCAGAATTAAGATCATATTTCATCATGCTACTTCCTAGATTGCTATATTTGTAATTCCTTACTTTATTGCATTTGCATTACAATGAATGAATCCATACATTTCTCTCAATAGCCCTTTTAATTAGATAACAAATTTCAATATAAATTATTAATATCTTTGATAACCATTACTGAAGTCATATGACATTCTCGACCCAACTCTACTGTTTATCTCAAATCTACTCTTATATAAAGGTTGTCTTAGAGACAACTAACCCTGTTTATTGATTTAACAATTTTTATAAATGTTTGCAACTATTTCAATTAATTGCCAAAATTCAAATTATCTGTCAATTGAATGTGATTTAGTCAATAAAATACACATTGAATAATGGCTGAGAAAGAGAGTACAAAAATATGTCTGGTTTGCGGCGATAAGGCTATTGGTATGCATTTTAATCTATGGTGTTTTCATTAATAACTAACTGTAAACAATCATGTTGATTGTAAAAACAACTTTATTCGCAATGCATAGCTATTAATGTGTCAAAATTCAGTGAATACTACTAAAGAATATTAATTTATAATTTTGCTAATAATTTATTAAAATTATAATTTAATTTTAGGCACAAATTTCAATGTAATTACATGTGAATCGTGTAAAGTGCTATTCAGGAGGAATGCCCTCCACTACGATGTAAGGCATCCGTACTATTGATTAACACATTTTGATTAATTAATGCATTTAACAACACATTTGAACAGACATTCAAATGTCAATTCGGAGACAATTGCAAAATCGATGTCTTGAGGCGACGATTCTGTAAGAAATGTCGGCTCAAGAAGTGCTTCGAAGTCGGGATGAAAAAAGTATAACTCAATTAAAATTAACAAATCATTTCACAAAATAATGTGTGGTTTTGAATGTCTATAGGAATGGATACTAAACGAAGACGAGAGGAAAGTGCGGAAAATCAAAATTGAAGAAAACAGGAAAAAACGCAAAAACTCTGAGTTCGCGGCGTCTGTCGTCAGCGACTCGTCCCAGAGCTCAGACACCAACAGTTCCGCCGCCACCGCCGCGACGGCCACCACCTCTTCGGCCACCGCTTTGGACATATTGAAGACGATTCCGGCGGACGACGAGAGGCTCAACAAAGAGATCTCCGAAATTGAGGACTACATCCGCAACCGAGAGATACTGGAAGTGTCCGACAGTGTCTTCTATAAAGCCGTGGAGTTTGAGTTCTCGCTCATCAATTCAATTGTCCGGCCGTTTGAGTTGAACAACAAATTCACGGACATCGAGGCCAACCGTATGGCCGAACTCGTGAACGCCACCAAACGTATGTCGGCGCCACTGCCGCCGGAGTACGTGTCCGACTATCAACGGTCGGTCATCGACGGCTTCAAACACAACCGGACGCCCACTTCGGTGGCCGACGTCACAAAACTGGCGGCCATTCAGTTGGAGAATACGGCCATTCGTACCGTCCATATGACCAAAGAGTTGAGCGCTTTCGGCATACTCTGCGAGAGCGACAAACTGGCGCTTATAAAACACGGATCCGTTGACATCTGTGCCATTAGGTCCGTCCTATTCTTCAACTTCCAGTACGAGTACTGGACTTTTGTTTTGGTGAGTGATTTGATTGATTGGATTTGTTTGTTAGTCATTGTTGTATTAATTAGTGTACTGTATATGTATTATGTGATTAGGACCACGAGAATTCAGTGATACTAAATCTGGATCTATTGAGACAATACAATATGAATACGTTTACGAATCACAAGAACTTCTTCGTCAAGATTGAGTCCATTTGGGATTCCGATCCCGTTATCATTGATTTGGTAATTCATTTCACTTTTCATTTTACTAATCACTTATGTTTAGCAAACATTTAATTGAAAACTATGCTATTTATAGTTGACTGCAATATTGCTATTCAATCCCGAAAGGCCTAAACTCGTTCACAAAGAGCTCGTTAAGTGAGTAAATAAAACTGGTGGTCAATTAATTGATGATATAATTAACATTTTTGTTGCTAATCCTTAACATAGACTCCAACAACACATTTACATGTATTTACTTCAACGCTATCTGATATCGAAATACCGGTCCGAATGTGAGGCCAAATCGCGATTCTTAAAGCTATTGAATTGTTTGCAAGAATTGCCGGTTTTGAATGATAAAGTGGTCCACAATTGGTTGTCTGCCGAACACCCGGACGTCGGCCAACCCCTCATGAATACTGTGTGCCAACCAAACAATCTCTTCCTATAATAATAATAAAATAAATGTTAATTTTTAAATTGCATTTTCACTGTTCATTTCGCTACTAATTTAAAAGCCTAATTGAGAAGTAATTGCAAGTTTGTAAGTTTGAAAAAGTTTTGCATTTAAAAATAGTTTCCCAACTTTTTTACCAATTGTAAAACGAGAGAGTCGTACGCAAACTCTGTTCATACAAAACTAACATGATTGCACACATCATGTGAAATCACCTATCTCCTCCCCTAATACTGTATATTATACCTAATGTACTCTAAAAGTGACAAAACCACATACAACTACATAAATATACATGAGCTTCATCCTATTAATATTCTCCACATACCAAATATACAAATGTCATAATAATTCAGTAGTTTTTTGCGTTAAATAATAGGAAAGTAAATACAATTCCTATCCATTCAGTGGTTTATTATTAATAAAATTGTATTGAATTGAAATCAAAGCAAATAAATTATTTACATTGTGTGAGTGATTGTGAATATGCAATATAAAAAGTACTCTAGTGGAAATTAATATTAGCATTTCGTTCCCAAGGCTATACCGTATGGCATAATATGTTGTGTATTTAAAAACCACTTATTATTTAATGTAATGTTTTATCATAAAAAGTATGTTGTCTTAGAGACCCAGAAGAATAGCTATTATAATACTCTCACCATTTCTTATCGTAATATGTATTTTATATAATGTGTTAAAAACAACCCATAATTTCATCGACACAAAAACTGCTGATATAAGCGTTGGATTTATTGATTAATTCACTTTCAATAGTTACAAGTTATTGTATACACTTGTTATATACCGTATACTGTATTTGATTTGGTTTGGGGTATAATAATTGACATTGGTCAATAGTTGACATTGATGTTAAATTGCTATTAAAACTCTTACATACATCTAATAATATGTCGGAACACGAGTTCATCAAAAAGTGTTTGGTTTGCGGCGACAGAGCTATCGGTATGAAAATTCATGTCATTTTTCAATAACTTATTTAATGTTATAAAGCAGTGATAATTCTGTGTCCAAATTGATCCCAAAAATACATGTCTTGTAATTTTAGGCAACAATTTCGACGCCCTTTCGTGTGAGAGCTGTAAGGCCTTCTTCAGGAGGAATGCCGTCAAAAACAAAGTAATCATTGAATGAATCAATCAATTGATACACAAATGAAAACCAATGAAACGATTTCTAAACGAAAAATTTTCTCATTCATCGCATGTTATGATTGGACAGGAATTGAAGTGTCATTTCGACGACAACTGCGAGATCGATGTCTTAACGCGAAGATTCTGTAAGAAGTGTCGGCTCAAGAAGTGCTATACAATCGGAATGAAAAAAGTGATTATAACACAAAACACCCCATTGTTTGACGTATAATATAATTGTTTTTGTGTATTGTGTCTTAGGATTGGATCCTTTCGAGCGAAGAGAAAAAGGTGCGAAAGACAAAGATCCAGATGAATAAGACGGCGCCCAAGAAACGCAAGGGCAGTGTTGTGTCCAATCAGGACTCGTCGTCGTCCTCGCAATCCAACGCCAATTCACCGCAGAGTACGGACACCAACGCAAACACCGCCGCAATTGACGACATCATTGACAGCATAATCACAGCACCCATTGATATACCCGACACTTTCGGCGATCTCGACGGACTCGACATCGATATCGATGACATCAATACACAGATTATGGAAATCGAGAATTATATCAAAAGCGATGATAACAGCGCTGTCGTCGACGACGACCACAACGACAGCGACTATCACTACAAACAGGAGTTGGCGGACAACGACGACGAAGACTCGGATGAGATCTCGGATCTGGTTTACCAAAGGGCCGCAGAGCTTGAGTTTACAATAATACCGATCGCTCGGCCGATGGCCAACAAATTCACGCTCAACGACCTCGAAGTGTTCAAACTGTCGGAACTGTTGAGCGCCACCGCCTTCTTCAACGAACCCCCGGCGCCGATCACCTCACAGATGATGACCTGCGAAGACGTGGGCAAAGTGTTGTGCTCGAAGACCGAAGAGCAGGTCCGCCGTGTCATCCGTATGGCTAAGAGTTTGTCCACTTTCAACGTGGTGGACGAGAACGATAAGATCTCGCTCATTAAGTTTGGCGCTATGGATCTGTATTGCATGCGTTCGGTCCCTCATTTTGATCCCAATAACGACCATTGGGTTTATACTATGGTTGGTATTTGTAGTGATGATAATCGTTGTGTGATTTTAATTAATTTAATTGTTTTGTTTTGCAGAATGAGTCCAATTCTGTGATATTGAGTATTGATTTGATGCGAAACTATCCGAGAAATTTATATACAATTTTTAAAAAGTTTTTACATAAAATATGCAAAGAGTATGAAAACGATCATGTTGTCCTTAATTTGGTGAGTACATTTTGACCATGTGTTATAATTTGGTTGACAATTAACCTTATTATTGTTCGCCCCATAGTTGTCAGTGATCACACTTTTTAACCCGGATCGGCCCAAACTTGTGAACAGAGAGTTTGTTAAGTAAGTATAACTTACATATTACTAGCAGTGTTAACATGTGTTAATAACTAACATTTTAAAGTTGCACGTTTATAAGCAATTTATTTACATTTTAATCATACTTTTTTCCATAGACTACAGCAAAATATATACATGTATTTACTTCAACGCTATCTACTATTGCGATATCAATCGGAATCGGAGTCCAAATTGAAATTCTTAAAATTGTTGAACTGTTTGATTGATTTGAATATTTTGGGCCAAACATATCGCCTGAATTGCTCTGAAAAGGACCCTAAAGTGATGTCACCCTTTATGAGAGAGATTTTTGAAATGAAAGTCGGAAATGAAATTGAAAATAACACTAATATCAACAAAAATATACTCATCTATTAATTTACATTTACTATACCTTATATTTGTATTTTATGTTTTTGGTTAATATTTAATAGCATATAGTTTTATGGGGTTTAAATCATTTGTACATTTTATTTCGATTAATAAAGTGGTTAAATACTGACTAAATGATTGATAATTTGATTAAATATAATGATAAATGTAATGAATATGAATGATAATTCTTAAAATTAATTAATTTATTGTGATGTACCGGTATGTTATAGAAATTGGGCTCAAATAAGACATTGATAATAAAATAAACATAAAAATGATTATGATAGTTTGTATTATATGCAGTTACAGTTGTACATATTACAGTTACATAACACTATAACTATAATTTATAACAAGAACTTTTTTTAAATAACCATTTATAGCTCATTGACAGTAAAAATCATAATTTAATTGAATGAATCAGCATTTACATTTATGTAATATCATGTTAATTCTTCGGATTTCAAGTTTGATTTATTGATAAAATTAAAAACTGATAATAAAATTTACAAATAATCCCTACTACTATACATTTAAACACCACTTTCAACAGTAGCTGTAGTTTGTATTGAATGAGTTATGCTAATAACAGATTTATTATTATTATAACTATTATTATTATAACTTATAAATATAAATATTATTATAACTTATTAACGGGAGAGCGGGGGGAGCTGGCTAGTATCTATACAAATATAATTATGTTTTATTTATTTACATATTGTCATATTAATTGTTATTTTATTATTGTTTGAAGTAGGTGTTTGTAATAAACTAGCAGATGTATAATGCTAGAATTTAATTAAAAACATCTAAATAAAGTAAAGAAATACTTTATCAATAAAAACCACAATAATTTCATTTTTGTACTAAATTTAAAAAATAATTATTTTAATATGTTGCAAGATTAAAAATAGCACATAATGTAAAGCACAGTATATTAAATGATAAATAAATGATACATTACTAGTATTGTAAATTCTTACGTATTTTTATTAAACCATCTCAATTGTATTTCATTTTAACTAAAAGCTAATTAATGAGATTTTAATTGACCTATGTTATATTTGTTAACATACATCTACATTAGATAATCTACAATAGATAGCATATTAATATTGGTTAATTACTTTAAATACTGTATAGTGCCTAACAATTATATGATGTTATCTAAAAGTAAGAATATAATAAAACTTATGAAGGTCAGGGGGAGGGGAAAGTGAGAATGTGAGTGCGTGTCCTTCGAATGGCACACATCAAACTTCAAACACAACTATTGCATAGGCATTACATGCATGTATATATTTAGTTGCCTTAGAGATTAACCATCGTATTTATACAGACAGTATTTACATCGAAATAAATGCTAAATATTTAACATAATAATCGCCGAAACGTTAAAACAATAGTAATATTAACACAATTACTATACTATCGGACGATATGTCGGAACAGAGATTCAAGAAGAAGTGTTTGGTTTGTGGCGACAAAGCTCTCGGTATGTATTCACTAATCATTAATGTAATAATGATAGAAATGGTGGCAAATAATTGCACAGTCAGTGTAATGAGCGCTCATTTTCAATGACAATATCGTAAATTCATTTTCATATACCTATTGATGTAATTTAGGCAAGAATTTCGACGCCCTTTCCTGTGAGTCGTGTAAAGCCTTTTTTAGACGGACGGCACTCAAGAATATTGTAATTAATAACTACTTTAATATCATGTTTAATATGATTGCGATATTAATTAACAATATTATGTATGTATTGTATGGCTATATGTATACAGGAGTTGAGGTGTGAATTTAGCGACAGCTGCAAAATCGATGTCTACACCAGAAGATTCTGTATGAAGTGCCGGTTACGGAAGTGCTTCGAGATTGGCATGAAAAAGGTAGCATGGTGCTTTTAATTATCTGTTTTTATTATAGTTGTTTTGTTTGACTATTAATTACAAACTTTATGTTTGAAACCCAGGAATGGATTCTAACGAGTGATGCGAAGAAAGAGAGGAAACAGAAGATTGAGTTGAATAAAAAGCGAAAACAAAGCGTGGGATCCGTTGGCCAGTCGTCGGACTCGACGATGACGTCGTCGCCGGGCAGTAGTTCCCAGTCGTGCGACGACTCGACCGCTGGCCTCGAAATTCCCGACACTTTCGATGCGCTGGACTTAGACTTAGACCTAAACCTCGACCTCGATATCGACGAGATTAACACTCAGATCACAGAAATCGAGAAATACATAGAAGTGGACGAAGAGGTGGTCGACGGCAACGGCGACGACGATTGGGACGAGATATCGGACGAGACGTATGAGAAGGCCGTGGAGTTGGAGTTCTCTGTGTTGCCGATCGCACGACCCGTCACTAATCACTTCACATTCAACGAGTTAGAGGCCAATAAGTTGGCCGAACTATTCAGCGCCACATCGTTTTTCCACGAGAAACAGACGCCGTTTGCCTCCCAATCGTTGGCGACCACTGATCAGGATCTGATGAACTGCATGTCGTTTAAGTTTGAGCAGCAAATACATAGGATAATCAAGATGTCCAAAGCGTTTACCGCGTTCAACAGTATTATCGAGGCCGACAAAATGACATTGATCAGAGAGGGCGTATTGGACCTGTTTTGCATTCGTTCCGTGCCCTTATATGATCATGTCAACAAGAGTTTGGTTTTTGTTATGGTAAATATCATTTTAATGTTATTTATATGGTATTTGATTTAATTGTTTGTCATTGTTTAGGACGACGAGAAATCAGTGATATTTGATTTGGAAGCGTTCAAAAAGATGCCAATCAATGTCTATGAGTTATACGTGAAGTTTTTGAATCAAATATGCAAAGAGTGGGAATCGGATCCAATTGTTCTCGATTTGGTATGAATTAAATCTAAACGTGTTTTACATTTAAGCTATGATTTACTTATGATACTTATGTGTTTGCATTATAGTTGACGGCAATAGTGTTATTTAACCCTGATCGGCCTAAAATTGAAAACAAACAGTTTGTTAAGTATGTTAATTAAAATACTGGTAATTAATTTTGTATTTAAAGCACTAATTTGTGAATTTTTATTAGACTTCAACATAAATTATACATGTATTTACTTCAACGATATCTGGCAGTGAGATATCAATCGCAAAATGAGTCTACATTGAAATTTTTGAAGTTATTAAACACGTTATCGGATTTGTATAGTTTGGGCAATAATTTTAAGCTCAATATGACCAAAAAAGACCCTGATCATATGTCACCGCTCATGAAGGAGCTTTTTGTTGAACCAAATACTAGCGAGAAGTATGTCGATTGTATGGGAGATAATAACAGCACAAAGATTATTGTATTTTAATTAATATCCACATAAAGTCATTACATTTTTCAACATTTATTTTGTATTTCAAAGTTATTTATTTATTAAAAATATTTTTGATCGTGATTTTATTTTTCTAAATATTTAACACATTATGAATTAATATATTTTATTCTACATTGCTACATTTATTTAATTGTATAAATTGAAATTAATTAATTAACTATGATTAATCAAGTAACTTTTAATATTAATTGTTAATAAAATCAAAGTCCAAAATAAAATAATGCTTGACTCAACTTGATAATTAAGCTAGATTAAAATTGCAAACTGCAGTAATTTAGGTACAAATAGTGTGCTTGATAAAATGTACGTTTTATAAACGAACATTGTACTACAATATGTACTTGTATAAAGGTATTTATTTATATTATTTATTTATTAAAAATGTTAACTTAAAGAATGAAAATTATTTTAATTTAAGACTAATTTAAAATAAAGATGAATGAGAGAGAAATGTCCGAAATATGTGGTGTTTGTGGAGATAAAGCAAACGGTAAAACATATTGTTATTATTATTATATTTATTTGAAATAATTTACAAATAAACTAATTGTTATTTAGGTTTTTATAACTTCAATGCAATTACTTGTGATACTTGTAAGGCCTTCTTCAGGAGGAATGCCTTCAATAGAGATGTATTTTCATTAAAAACATTGATTTTATTTGTAAAACTAATATAATTTTAATATAAATTAAAAGCAATTTAAGTGTTATTTTGGAAATAATTGTAAAATAAATGTCTGGACGCGAAAAACGTGTAGAAAATGCAGATTAAGTAAATGTTTTGCAATTGGGATGAAAAAAGTAATTTTATATTTAATTAGTTTTAAATTATTTTGAATTTAATTTAATTTTTCTAGGAATTAATTTTAACAGAAGAGGAGAGAAAATGTCGAAAATATAAGTTTCAAACAAAAGGGCAAAAGAAACACATTTACGGCAATAAAACTAAATTATTTCAGCCGACAGTTAGTCGTCCGGACGATTCAATCAATGATTTAAATTATAACTCATTTCATGAATCCTTTGCCAAAGATATCGCAAGAGATGAGACAATGGACTCAATGTCTGTGACATATGCCAGACGTCCCATAACTGACTACAGGAATAATTTCAATGAAATAGAGGGCAAACGGATCACTGAATTGTTGAGCGCCACGAATGAGATGAGAAGATCATCACCCGATGGCCGGACGTGTCTTATCAAACACCCCCTCATAGAGGAGGCCTGTAAGGCATGGGCTCACAAATGTGTCCAAGAAGTGGACAAATTGGTCAAAATGTCTAAATGTTTGGTTGCATTCAACCGGATCTGCGATAACGATAGGATTGCGCTCATAAAGTATGGCTCAGTGGAGGTCTATATCATGAGACTTATAATGCAATACAATTTTGACACCAATTCTTGGATTTTAATTAATGTAAAATAATTATTTTAAAAATTATTGCATAAAAATGTATTGATTTTGAATGACTATACTTTAGGAGCGAAACAATTCAGTTGTATTGCGAATGGATTTACTAAAAGAGTACAGAAAATCACTTTTCGATGCTTACGACCGCTTTATCAGACATATTGGCCCGGAATGGGATTCAGACACTATTATTATAGATTTGGTACGAAATAAATGAATATTTTTATAACATATTGTTTATGTTATCATTTAATTAAGTTAACAGCAATTGTAATATTCAATCCCAACCGACCAGATCTTATGGACAAACAACAAGTTCAGTAAGAAATTAAAGTTTATAAAAAATAACTATATGTATTAAAAATTGCATTTAATTTGTGTGCATAGAGTGGAGCGGGAGATATACATGCAATTACTGCTCCGGTATTTACTATTGAGATACCGATGCGATCGCGAGTCGACCTCTAAATTATGGCGTTTAATGAATGCATTAATAGATTTACATTGTGTTAAAGAAGCGCATCAACGGAACTATCGGCTTAAAGATCCTAAACTCGTACCCCCACTGCTAAGGGAGGTGTTTGAAGTGGGTTACACGGGTTGTACATGATCATTTTAACCACACTTACTGTACTTAATATAATGATTATACTGTATATTCAATGAATGTTAATTACAGAATTTGCAGAATTACAGAATGGATGAATAGATTATGGTAACAAATATGTTGTGTAAATAAGTATGGTAAACACTATTTTTATTTTGTGTAATTTTTATAAAATGTCAATCAAATTATTGAAAATAAATTGTATAGCATAGAAAATAAAATCACACTTATTTGCACAATGTAATTATACATAGGTGTGTAAATTTTCCGTACATAGTATTATTTAATTATTTATTCCCTACTGGCTATACTATTGTATTTTACTATTATTGATATTAATATAAACTATATAAAATATAGTGAAGTTTAGCATAAATAAGTTTTAGCAGGCAAACTGGGAAATAGGTTTTTTCATTAATTGATGTTCAATATTGATAATATTTAATCAGTAATACAGCTAATATTAAACAGGGATATAAAATATTAAATATGTAAATTGTAAGTTTGTTCTTCATTTTAGATGGCATTTGCCATTCAATAATAATTAATTATTATCAAAGTATAAGGAGGATATTTTGTATTTGAAATAAAAGTGAAATTCATTATAGATCTATACATTTATATTATACAATATTAGCTTAATTACTTTTCTAATTGTTATATAATATATTTTTGTGAAGTTAATTGTAGTGTTATATTGATTTTCAAGTGTACCTAGATGTATTTTATGTTTACAAAATATGAAATTATTTTTTAATATTTGTCTTGATATATGTTGACATGAATATCAAATATTATGTCTAATAATGTTGAAAAATATTGTGGTATAAAAGTTTAAAACACTGAAATAAGCATTAAATTGGTTTAAATTATTGATATAATTATGGGAAATAGCGATTTCATTAAATCATGTCTGATATGCGGTGATCGGGCGACCGGTAAGCAGTGTTTTTATCATTAGTTTAATAAACTGTAAGACTTTTACTTTTAAGGAACTATTAATAGGAACTTTTGCTGTCCATTTGCACATTATGTCAATGTTTCTGTTAATTGAATTTCATATTTAGGATATAATTTCAATGCTGTTTGTTGTGAAAGTTGTAAAGCCTTCTTTAGGAGGAATGCATTTAAATATGAGGTGATTATTACATTTTTAAACATAAATTTAATTATTTGTAATAATACTTGAAAATATTTTTATTTTACACCTCTCTCTCTCTCTCTCTCTCTCTTTCTTTCTCTCTCTCTCTCTCTCTCTCTCTCTCTCTCTCCTTTCGTTTTCGTTGTGAAGGAATTCAAATGCAATTTTGGAAATAATTGTCGAATAGATTTGATTTCGAGAAAATACTGCAAAAAATGTCGACTAAAAAAATGTTTCAATTTAGGGATGAAAAAGGTTGGCATCACTTAATGTCGAGACTATTGTTAACTAATTTACAAACATTTCCTGTGTTTAGGAATGGATTCTAAACTCCGAGCAAAAGAATATTCGGCGAAATAAGATCGAAGAGAATCGACAGAAGCGGAAGAATAGCACCAGAGATGACGGCGACAACACATCCACCGACTCTTCGTTCGCACATTTCACGAATCAAATTGAGAAAATGGTAACCAAATTGATGGACAATAGTCGGCCGATACTATCATCTAATGTTATATCGGATGCGATATACGAAATGTCAGTCATTCCGATCGCCCGACCCGTCAATCCATTAACAGACCAATTGAATGACATTGAGATGAATAGATTGGCGCAACTGTTGAACGCAATGCTTGTACTGAAGTCACCCATAATTGCCATCACATCCGAGGCTATGACCGAAGACGACGGTTGCGATGTCTGGCGCTATCATTGCGAACAAGAGATCCTTAAGATCACCAAAATGTCGAAATTGTTGGAACCGTTTCAGAAGTTGTGTCCGAATGATCAAATCGCCCTGGTCAAATATGGCTGCGTGGAAATGCACTTTCTCAGACTAACCATACATTATAACTTTGATAATGAATACTGGAGTGTGAATATTGTAAATATAGTTTTTATTTTATGATGTTGGTTGTTTCATTAATCAAGTTGCTTTAAATAACACAATTGATATGCTTTCAGGATAATTGTCATTCGACTTTAGTAAAGGTGGATCTGTTGCGTGAAAGACATAAATCTCTATACAATACATACAAAAGATTTTTTAATAAATTAAAGCCCGAGTGGGAGTCCGACCCTATTATTCTCGATATTGTAATTATCCACACATTATTATCATTTAAATTATTATAGACTTTTATATTAATTTTTAGATTTACTAATTTTATATGTTTTGTGTATTAGTTGACGGCAATCTTACTCTTCAATCCGGATCGTCCAAACCTATTGTATAGAGAAATGGTTAAGTAAGTTACCATAAGTTATTGTCTATTATATACAAGTTTTCAATCTTGATCATCTAATAATTTTTATTCCCACATAGACTGCAACAACACATTTACATGTATTTACTTCAACGCTATGTAATGACAAGATATCCGACAAAATACGAGTCAAATACCAAATTCATGCGATTAATGTCTACAATGATTGACTTGAATATAGTCAGGGAATCACATGTAAAACATATGGAATTAGAGGCATATAAACTGAGTCCATTGCTCCGGGAGATATGCGACCTTGGTCATTAGGCCATTGATCATTTTAGTCAGACCAACAATTCTGTCAATGAGATAGCAATTTGATCATTTAATTTAATTTTATTCTCTATTAATATACCAGATTAATTTTTGTACCAGATTAATTGGTGCACAATCTAAACTTAGCTGCATTATGCTATCACGTATCATTATAATATAATCATTATAATATAATATTATTTTGTATTTTAATGTGTAATGTTTGGAGTATTAATAAAGCATTTACAATATTAAATGTTAATTATAATATTATCGAACTACTTTAATGTTATTTAACGTTAAGTTATCATTAAATATAGCATTATTATTATGCTTAATGTTTTATAACTGTTTATTCATAAATATTCTATGGATAGTGTAAATGAGCATGATCAATATAATGATATACAGTAAGTAAAGAATATAAATTGTAAAATAATATGTTATACTTCACAAGTATTTTTTAAAATAATAGATTTAAAATTCTATATATTTTTTATAAATATAGTTTTTAAATAAATAAATAATTGTATGTATAACTATGGGTAATAATAATGATATAAAGTTATGTATAATTTGTGGTGATAGGGCCACAGGTAAGAATTTTTGAGTAATTATTTTAACTGCTTTGGTTAACGTATCTTAACGGATATTAACATATTTAGGATATAATTTCAATGCTGTTTGTTGTGAAAGTTGTAAAGCATTCTTTAGGAGGAATGCATTTAAATATGAGGTATTATTGAATGTTTTTTAATTTTGATGATAAAATTAGTTTATTTTGGTTCTCTCTCTCTCTCTCTCTCTCTCTCTCTTTCTCTCTCTCTCTCTCTCTTTCCTCCAGGAATTTAAATGTTATTTTGGAAATAATTGTCGAATAGATTTGGTTTCGAGAAAATACTGTAAAAAATGTCGAATGAAGAAGTGTTTCGATTTAGGGATGAAAAAGGTTGGCATCACTTAATGTCGAGACTATTGTTAACTAAAATTTGCAAACAATGTGTTTATAATTAGGAATGGATTCTAAACGACGAGCAAAAGAATATTCGGCGAAATAAGATCGAAGAGAATCGACGGAAGCGAAAGAATAGCAGTAATGACAGCGTAAACAACAGTTCGTCCGACTCTTCGTCCACACAATTCACGGATCAAATGCGGAAAATTCCATCAAAAGAGAGGGCAAGGAATCAAAAAACAATGCATAACAAAACTAATGCAAATTCTGTGTACGAGAAAAGGGTTGAACTCGAGATGTCTGTCATTCCCGTCGGCCGTCCCATCAATCCATTGACAGACAAACTGAATGACATTGAGATGAATAGATTGACACAACTGTTTAAAATAATGCATATATTCAAGTCTCCAATGGTTGCCATCAGATCAGAGACCATGACTGAAGAGGACATATGCGATGCGTTTCGTAACAACTGTGAAGAGGATATCCTTAAGATCATTAAGATCTCCAAATGCATGGAATCGTTCCACAAGTTGTGCCAAAATGATCAAATTGCCCTGGTCAAATATGGCGGCATGGAGGTTCATTTTCTCAGACTTGCCACACATTATGACTTTGATAATGAATATTGTACTTCAGTTACGGTAATTATGGCATAGGTTTTATTGTTTTGATTATTGATTTATTCAATTGCTATAAATTGCTGTGATTTTAAGGATGATTGCACTTCAATTGTATTAATGGTGGAACCGTTACAACAATGCCATCGCTTTCTATACAAAACATTAATGCATTTTTTGGCTAAAATAAAGCCCGAGTGGGAGAAGGACTCAATTATTCTCGATATTGTATTTACACATTATTGTCATTTTAATGATTATAGAATTTTATATTTTATTGTTTTATATTTAACTAATTTTCTATATTCTGTGTATTAGTTAACGGCAGTCATACTCTTCAATCCGGACCGTCCGCACCTATTATACAGAGAAATGGTTAAGTAAGTGAATGTCCATATGTTGATCACATTATGCAAAATTATATCATGATTTTATCGCAACATAGACTCCAACAACACATTTACATGTATTTACTTCACCGCTATTTACTGACGAGGTATCCGACAAAATACGAGTCAAATACCAAATTCATGCGATTGTTGGGCGCATTGATTGACTTAAATATCGTCCGCGAATCTCATGTACAGCACTGTAAGGATTTAGAGCCCCAACGCATGAGTCCACTGCTCCGTGAAATATGCGATTATAATATTGTGGCCATCGATGGCTTCAATGAGGCCGTCGTCAACAGTTCCGTCAAATAAGTTGCAAATTAATGACTTTATTTTTCAATTATTCTAGTAGTTATTGAACATACATTGTTTTGTTTTGTGAATAGTCTATCGTTGATTTTAATTGAGAATAATTTTAATAAATAATATTATTTATTAAAATATTGTTTAATAACACAGTAGTATATTCAATAAATTTGTATATCTTGAATTTTGTTTATTCAATTGCATTATAATTAGTTTACATTATTTTTATGCAAATGCTTGCGTTTTTATTTGTTTTATTCATTATAAATATGTTTGTTTATAAATATTCTTTGAATTCAATCAAACAAATTATGGTAAGAAATAATTTTGTTGCATATATTTTGCCAATTTGTAGAAATTTGAGAATTAAAACCTTGAAAATCAATCAACTTTGTGCCCCCACGAGGCCCACCAGCGCTGTGCACCTGTATTTAGTGTGCAATGTATTACAATTTTACCTTCCTTTCCATCAACCTAGCATTCAAAATACATTTTATATTAACTATTCATTGACTATTGGTTATATTGTACAAGTGCACTTTGTATAACTTGTATAAGTTTGGTGCACTTTAGTGCAAACGTCAACCATAAATAAAGTGTACATTATATGCGCCGAATAGGGAACAAGTTTTTTACATTGATAATATACAGTTGAATAGATAAATGTTTAATACTGTACATGTTTTAAATGGTAGCGTTAATACAGTGGTTGTCGACTATATGTATACAATTTACAGTATATTTAATATGTAGAGAAAATATGTTGATCTTTAATATGTGAATTGTAATCTCGTTTCACATTTTATACGCAAACGCTATGCAGTTGTAAATCATTGCTATCACAACACAAGGAGAGTATTTGATGAATAAAATATCAAAAAAGTAAAATTCATTATAAAGATTATATACATTTACATTATGTTTGTTTTATTACCATTATAATTCCGGATGCTGTCTTGTGGATCAGTGAATTAAAATAGTTTTTAAAAATTAAACTCGGTGCATTTTTGATAATAGTGCAATAATGTTTGAGTATACATAATATAATTTATATATTATATAATGTGTGAACATTCAATATTTAGTTGATATATACAGTTATTGACGCAATATTTGGCAATATTTTCATTTTGATACCTAATATTTCAGTGATATTTCTGCTGAACACAAGTGTCTTATAATTTATTAGTTATAAAAATACTGCTTGGTCAAAGTGTAATTGATGTAAAGTGGATAATCACCACATTTAGTGCATTAATGGCTAGTTATATAATTGTTATCTAAATGTTCGTATAGTTGTTATCAAAAACGGTTTTATAAGCAATACTTTTGTATTAATAATTTTACAATTGTCTCAAAATTATTCATACAATTATGAGTAACAGAGATCTCATAAAGTTATGTGTGGTTTGCGGCGATAGGGCCACAGGTAAGCAGTGTTTAGACTTATGTTGGGTTGTTTTAATATCATCAAGATTGTTTTCGGTTATTTTATGTTAATGTGTTTTGTGTTGTTTAATTGCATACTTTTAGGGTATAATTTCAATGCTGTTTGTTGTGAAAGTTGTAAAGCATTCTTTAGGAGGAATGCATCCAAATATGAGGTAAATATTTAACCCATATTAAGAATTAATAGTTAAATTTATAATTAATTTTTATAATTTTTAATTAATACAATCTCTCTCTCTCTCGAGTTCGGCTGTTTTCTCGTACACCGCTTCGGGTATAGTATTGTATGGCATTATTGCCT